GCTCGCCGCCAGCTCCGTGCAGTGCTCCACCCCCAGGCCCTCACTCTGCCCGCAGGGCTGCGCCTGATCTGAGCGCTGAGCTCCAGGTGGGCGACTTCACAGCCTTGTCTCTCAGGAGCAGGCCAGAGCCTGGTTAGAGCTTTATTGGGGGCAGAGGGGGCGTCTGCGCGGGGACTGGATATGGCACATGGGGGGGGGCGGGGAGGTCTTGTGCCAGGATTACAGAGCACGGATTGTGGCGGCCCAAGACAGAAACCCAGGAGCCCCCAGGAAATTTACAGATTCAGGAAAGTAAGGGCCAGTTTTTGAACGCCTGTTGATCAGGTGTTTATGCGTGTCATTACATTTCATTCTGTTTCTCTGTCTTTAAGAACTTGGATGGGATTTGGGCATTAGATGGTCGTCATTTATTATGCAAATTTCCTGATCCCTGTGGGGGTGTTGGCGTTATGTAGGAGAAAACCCTTGTTTGCAAGGAAATAAACACTCAAGTTCTGGGGGTGGTTTGGCATGTCATCAGCAATTTAATCTCAAATTAGATATTGGGGAAGGGGCATGTTCATTCTACTCTTCTGGAACCGTTCCTGTAAATTTGAGATTATTTCAAAAGATAAAGGAAAACGTTAATTTAAAATTACGCTAGCCTCATAAAATGAGCTGTGCAGCTCTCACGATTTTTCTGTATTCTGTAGCAATTTACATTACACAGGAAGTACAGTTCCTTGAAAGAATAGGAACTCAGCTATAAAGTAATCTAGGCATGGCTGTTTTGGAAAACACAAAATCTTTGACTTTCACATAAATTCTAACAAGCTCACAGGTCTAGTCAGGTTTTCTATTCCTTGCACGAATTTTGTCATTTTATTTTTTCTATCAATGTATCTATTTCCCCTAGGTTTCAATTGATTAATGCATAGTTTTAATAATACAAGAGCTGTGCGAGTAGACCCTAAGAAAAGAGAATCAGCTGGTAAACATTAGCAGCACTCCCAAAATAGATTAATGGCTCCAAGGCCACTACCTCTTCTGTTTATGTTCTCCAATTACCTATCTCTCGATTAATGGGGTCATTAAGCACTTCTGACGTGCATTAATTTCCATCCTCTACCCCCCCCCCCACTTCTTTCATTCTGCATCAATCCAGTTTGCAAATGATTACATCTTGTTAAGTATTATACACTTTCTGTTTACAAATAGAACAAATGACCTAGAAAATGTTTGACAGCTGTCTTTTTTCTCTGGCGCTTAATGGGAATAGCAGAGCAAACAGGCGCACCAGCCCTGTAAGTGTGTGGTGTGACATATTAATGGCTAGTCTTTGCTACCAGCTGACTTAATACATGGAAGTGGAATTCATTTTAAATGGCCTGAAGTTGCATACTTTAAGTCACTATAATTCTGCTGAATGTAGAAAAGTATAAAAAATGAATGAATTCTAGCTTTAAGACTCTTTTCACTTTCCATCACTCTAATAAATTACAATAAATGAAATCGTCCCTGCTCTTAAGAAACCAAGAAATAGTATAATGTAGCAATGGACACGAGACATAAACATAAGAAACTATAAGAAAAGATATTATACATTTTCAGAGGACAGACATTTGACAAGAAGAGATCCTCCTGGCTGGAGAGACTGGAAATGTTTATGGAAGTAGCCACCTATAGCTTTGCCTTACTCATGCCTACCTCATGCCTACCTCATGCTCCATATTGGGAGCTGGAGATAAGTAGACACTATCCCTCTACCCATGGAACTTATTTCCTAGAGACTAGTCAGTCCACAATTATTTATTGTGTGCACTCTGTGAGTCAAGCATACAAACAGGCAATAATGATTTAGAGTGATCAGTGTTAAGATAGGGCAGGGCATGATCCAATTAGTTACTGGCTGGAGTTTTATCACACTGAATCCTCCTCTCTAAGCACAGATTTTTCTCTGAATTCAATTGCAAGGTCAGGATCACGGGTCACTCACTCACATTTAGCAATAATTTAGCCCTGACACAATTTAGCAGTAGCTGCTTAGTAAATTGTTGTAATCATCGAGTGGATCACTAGTGTTAACTTCAAGGAATCGGTATAAAGAATTGTAATAAAAACCACTGATATAATCCTTGGTTTGTTAAGACTTTAGAGGAAGCTTCCCAATAGAACTATATACTGACTCTTATCTATAAATCTAGCAGTGACATCAATTGTGAGATTACTCAGGAACATGGTCAATATACAGGGTGTGGCAAAAGCAGGTTTACAGTTGTTCATAGGGAAAATAACACAATAATTAATAAATAATAATACAAGAATAAACCCAACCCACCACATTAACAGATCTAACAATAAAATTTGAGTGATCATACCAATTGGCACCTAATATTTATTCTTGAACTGGAAGTGGCTTTGAGTAGTGTTATTATCATATTTCAAAATAGTCTCTCCATTGGCTACCACCACCCACATTTTCAAGATCATTGAAGTGACCCTCCATTGCATCCAAACTCAGGCCAAAATCCTTGAGTATGGCCCTTACTCAACAACAAAACACCCCATTCTCAGAGCACACAGCTGACAGATACTCCTTTTATAACCCAGCCTGGGGTGGAAAGGGCCTCCTTGTCATTTCTGAGCCCCTTCGGCCTCTCTAGAGGAATAATGGACACGTGAACATGGCCAACGAGAAAAGGCAAAGGGATAAGAGCATTCCCAGAGCCAGCCTAATTTTGTAATGAGTCAGGCTGGTCAGACCCTGTCCTGGATGGACGTGCTAAGCCATGGGAGATCAACAACAATTAGACGGTGTTGACGTTTAGGGCCTCTAACTCTCCAAATAGCCCAGGTAGAGCCCATTCTTCCATTTTTGAGTATGTGGCCTCAAAATCTTAGAGCAGCGGTTCTCAACCTGTGGGTCTCGACCCCTTTGGCGGTCGAACGACCCTTTGACAGGGGTCACCTAAGACCATCCTGCATATCAGATATTTACATTATGATTCATAACAGTAGCAACATTACAGTTATGAAGTAGCAATGAAAACAATTTTATGATTGGGTCACAACATGAGAAACTGTATTTAAAGGGCCAGAAGGTTGAGAACCACTGCCTTAGAGGAAGTGATTATGTTTGTAGGTTCTTAGTTGCAAAACCAGACCTGATACTAATGTCAGATTATGCTGTCTCAGCATGTACTATTCAGAACTCAGCAAAGTATGCAGAAGACGGGGAAGGGCAAATTGCAAATATCTAGTGAGGCAAAATTTTGTATAATGTTAAACCAAAAAAAAACATTAAGGCAATTATGCTTTTATCATCCAGAAGAAATCATGTTGCATGGAGTTAAAAAGCTTGTTTAAGTGGTTAGATAGAGATCTGTTTAGAATTATGTAAAATTATTAAGTAAGGGCCCAGTTTGTAAGACAGGAAAGAACTGGCTCTCTAAAGAAAAAAATGTCTAGGGAGGAATATTAATTCAGGGACTCATTTCACAGACAAGGCAGTGGGCCATAGGTGAGAAGGGACACTGGCCTGTGTCTGAAGCACTGACGTATTTCCGACCTTTCTTCCATTCACTGAGGATGCAAATGAATAAATACATAGAGCTTTTGTGAGGAAAGCTAAGCGCTTTGGAACAGTTCTGGGAAGAATCTAACTTATTCGGAGGACAAGTGTCATCTTCAAGACAAGATACATCAACTGACTCTGAATTTCTCATCATCGACATAGTGGCAGCCTTCCCTGGCCCTCACAGTCTGGCTGCATGGGGTGTCCCTCTTCTGAGTTCTGACAGCACCCTGGGCACACACTCAAAGGAACACTTAAGTTATTTTTTGAGAATCTTTTTTTTTTTTTAACCTCAGAGTAGAAGGTAGAGGGAGAGAGAGATAGAAACATCAATGATGAGAGGGAATGATGATCAGCTGCCTCCTGCAGGCCCCCTACTGAGGATTGAGCCTGCAACCCAGGCATGTGCCCTGACTGGGAATCCAACAGTGAGCTCCTGGTTCATAGGTCAATGCTCAACCACTGAGTCACACCAGCCAGGCAAGATTCTTATTTTTTTTTTTATCTGTTTTTCCCACTAGACAGTGAACTTCTCAAGAACCCAGGCACTATTAGCATTTGTGTGGTTTTCAGTTTTCCAGGGACTCTTATCAGAGATTGGAAGGCAGACATACTTTCCCACTCTGGGAATCGTGTTTCATTTTCATGTGTTCCATAGGCCAATTGGCCCCTTTCCAGATTAGGTGATTCATTCAAAGGTTAGCGCCAGAGCTGAACTCCGCCACAAAACCTGGTGGTAAATCAGATTGAAATATAATACTGAGTTTCACCAGTATTGGGGCTGAACTCCAAAATGAATGCTCTATACAAAACTGCTCACTGGCATGTGTTCAGTCCTTACAGTGGCTTCAATCCAGATGTCTGTCTGATGGCACTGTAGTCGGGCCCCAGGTGAGCTTTCTCTGCTGTGTCCGCCATACTTATATGCGAGATGCTAAAGAAACAGACTGCTCAGAGACATCTTTAGGGCCAGAAAGAATTCAAGCACCTTCCCTGTGGCCAAGCTTCATGGGAGCGGTGGGGCATGGGGCAGGGCAGTACAGTTATGGGAGATTCTGATTTATGTCCCAGGTCATGTACCCAGATCCCAGATAGGTAATCAGAAACTTTATTATGTTCCTTGCAGGTTCCAGATCATCAGACCTAATCCTAGATAAGAAATGTGTTTTCACCAAATCTGTGGGTTATGATCCATCCATTTACCTCCTCAGTTATCACAGACACTGCCTGTGTCAGTGCAGACACAATCATCAGTTTGAAAAAAAAGAGAGAGAACGTCCATGGGTGTCCCAGGAAGCACTGGCCTGCTGAGCTGGTCCTTATCTCCAGAGCAATGAGAAGGCCTTTCGGAACTCCTCCTGCCCTGCTGCTCAGGCTCCAGGGATTAGAGCCCACAGACAGGAATGCACTGTTCTTAGGTCAGGAGCACACAGAGAGGAGACTTTGGAGTGAAGAGTTCGTATTTGTTGAAACCTTTGCCCGGAGCTATAAACCTGTGCGCCGCGTGGCAGGGCTGTCTCTGACTCTGGAACAGAGAACAAAGAGCATATTAGTTAGTCACAGTGAGGAAGGCACCAAAGATGCAGAAACCAGGGGGGGGTGAATAACATCTCCCAGCCCCTCCCCATCGGGAGAACCACCTGTCTTCCCTTCAACTCCTCCAGGGGAGATTTCTTGGAGCATTTTGGTTCCAAATCTGGGTATTTTCTACAATAAAACTAATACCAAAATCACCTCTCAGGCCCTAGAGCAGTGGTTCTCAACCTTCCTAATGCCACGACCCTTTAATACAGTTCCTCATGTTGTGGTGACCCCCAACCATAAAATTATTTTCATTGCTTCTTCATAACTGTAATTTTGCTACTGTTATGAATCGTCATGTAAATATGTCTGATATGCTATATGTGTTTTCCGATGGTCGCGACCCACAGGTTGAGAACCGCTGCCCTAGAGATCCATTTCTAAATGCTGATGAATTCAGATCTTTCCTGGAGTCGTAAACTTCAATGTGGGCAACAACCTGGAAGCCCGCATTTCACTTCATTGTAGAGGTGACGAAGTGACTTACAATCCAATATCACGAAGCCCCTCAGAGGCCTACCAATCCCTGCTACACCTGCCGGGTTCTTTAAAACATTTCTCTGAGTCATAAATATAATAAATTTTCATTGAAGAAAAAAATGTCAAATTATGTGAACTATTAAAAAAAAAGGAAAACACTTTCATAACCCCAGCACAATACACTTTGTTCAGATTAAAAATAAAACTAACACATTAAATCTTACAGAATAAAAGGGGGGAATGTGGATTTCTTCATTTGATGTTTAAATCTTAAATTTTGGCAACTTAGCACATAAAACATCAAAGCACACTTGAACGGGTCCGAGGCAGGCGGTAGATTACAACAGGGTGTGAAACATTGTGAAATCGGCCCAGCTCCACGGGAGTGTGAACAGCACGACATTCTCTGTAAGATCCTGGCAGTGCCCAGAAAACCCTGCACTCCTAATTGGCCACATCCTGCTACTATCACTTGCAGGGCACAGCCCATCATCAGTGGAGGGATTCCAGAGGTGTGTGATATTACCCCTGAGTTCTTATTACAGACACTAAATTTCAGGCAATTAAATCTGAGAGAAAGCAACCTAGAGCAGGTGGTGATAGAGGGACTGTGCTTTGCAGATTTGCATTGACCTTCCACTGAGTAGGGGTGTCAACAGAAGCCTCCAGCTGCCCTGCAGAGGTCAAGAGGCAGATCTTCGTAGAGTGGTTTCCAGCATTATGTGAAGTTATCCAGGCTTAGAAGGGAGTTCTGGTGAGAATGAGGATCAGCTAAATGCTAAGCCAGGCCCTGGCAGCCGTAACTCCGTGTACAAAGTGCTGGGTTCCCTCTGATAATTCAAATACCCACTCGGCATATATGTAGTTATCACAATATTGTTGGCTGTTTTCCCTGTGCTTTGCTTTACATCCCCATGCTGATTGTGTAACTACCAGTTAGCACTTCTTAATCCCATCACCATATTTTTTGAAGGTTGCTAATATGTTTTATTGCAGACATATTTCTTTTCCCTGTTCTTCCATTCCTACTCAAAAATACTAAATTCTCTCCTGTTTTATGGAAAAACTAGGTAAGATATTGAAAGGGGCCTCTACTAGGAGTAAGAAGACAAATGTAGCCTCACTTCAAACAGCCACGTATTTGGGGGGTCCAGGCTATCACTTAGCCTTACAGAGCCTAGAGTTCTTCACGTAGGAGAGTGGAAGGATACTATAGGCCTATTATTTTCCAAGTTTGTTTTGGTTTGTCTTTGACAGTTTAAAGAGAATGAACATCTGGTAATGAATAAAGGACATAAGTAGGAGATTATAACATTAGTTTAAAGGGTATGTGTTGAGCAATAATGAAAGAATATGAAGACACATCAGTTACAATGTACTTGCAACACTTTTTTGTCTCCAGGTCAACAGAACTCAGCTACCTATTTACCACCACTCCAAATGTGCCTGAGCATGCACCCTTGTACTTAGGTCCTACACTGAGTTAGTATAGGAGCATTTCCAGCAATTTGTTCAATGTCCACTCAATAAATAATCTTGAAAGAAATGGAAAGGTTAGGGATAACCTTTAATCATAAGGAAAATACAAAGTTGTGTTCATTATTCTCTGAGAAGTGTGTCCTCATTATAGATAGATTTCCTTTGTGAAGACAAAGTGAACGAAAAGTTTGGTGTTAACAAGAACAGCTATACAGAAAGCAATGTACTGTGTAAAAGGACTTTGACATAAAAGAAAATGAAAAAGTGATTCTAATGAAATTTTATCTCTAGGGGCATTTATAATCAAACTCTTCAAGTATAAGTGCTTTTTATTATATTCTTGTCTTATCCATTTGTTTGTATTTAGTATTTCATTCTAAGATTATAGCTGAATAAACTTCTTTATGTCTGTAAATTTTATATCTTAGTGGAATATTTGCATATGAATGTTTTCAACAAAGTATCGAATCATTGACAATTTATGGAACATGAAGAGCTGAATTAATAAATTTGTTTGAAGAGTGGAAAAAGCCTCATTGCTCCTGAGCTCTTAAATATTTAACTTTGTGTTTTATGAAGTGATATGAAAATGTATTTCTAATGTCAAAATATATAAACTTATGAAGGAATTAAAATGGGCTTATATCAAGGGGTTAGAGAATATGAGGCTTGGAAGATAACTTGAAGCCAAATGGGTATAGGGTCTTGAAAAACCCTATAGCTTGAGCGTAACCTCAGAGATCAATTGGTATTTAATTAATCCTTTAATCTTATTTTCAGAAAAATAAGGTTGTAAAAAATCCCTCCAAATTCTTATAAACCCTTCCCAGGTGTACAAACTAGAATTGATAATGAGGAATCTGGCCTACAGACAGTGGGTAACCATTGTAGATTCTGAGTTTAATTAAAAGAATGGCACAATCATAATTGTTTGGAAGAGATCTCCTGTGGTGATTGAGGATCCATTGGCTGAGGAGATCCTTAAGGCCAGTTCAGAGCCTCTTGTGATGGATCCGAGGTCATAAAAACCAAGACAAAGGTGATGCTATCCAAGGAAATGGGAGGAAAAGGGACAGAAGTGGAAGTATGGCTTCGAGTCTGGATTTACACTATTGCTGCTGACACTGTGCCTTAACCTTCCTCACATTTCATCATCTGAAAGCTGGAACTGAATTAGATGATCTCTAACAGATCTGGCATCTGTGACTAAAATGAACATCTGGAAGTATGTCGAGAGTAGACATCGCGCAGAACTTATCCCTCTTCCTTCCCATAGAGTTCAGCTGTAAATGCCTGATCCACACTAGCCCTATCTTATTCTCTCTCTTGAGAATCTGAGAAACACAGATTGGAAATTATAGTTGAATTACATTGATGGTAGAATGCTAAACACAAAGCCTGTGAACTCTTACCGACGAGATCTCAAAGTTCCTAAGGACTAACTGTTTATACCCTGGAACCCTGATGGTAGAATGCTAAACACAAAGCCTGTTCCTAAGGACTAACTGTTTATACCCTGGAACCCATACAATACTCTATATTCTTTCATAAAGTGAGTGAATACATTGGTGCAGCTTCTTTGGAGTGGAGGGAAATTTGATAATATCTGCATTCACTTTTTAACTCTGTGATGCAAAGCTTTATTTCCTCCCTGCATTCAGTCACCTTAGTGATAATGAGAATTTTCTATTAGGGTAACTTCCTTTAATCCCCAAATTTTAATTTTAAACCTTATTAGGCTAAGCCCCTCCCTGGCAAAATGGAGCGACCAATACCTACCTCCTAGTTTTGTTTCAAAGATTAAGTGTGGCACCGTGCCTAGCACATAGTTAGTACTTAATACGTATTACTTCCTGTCTTAGTCAGCTCAGGTAGCTGTAACAAAATACTACAGACTGCGTGGCTTACACAGACATTTATTTCTCACAGTTCCGGAAAGTCCAAGATCAAGATGCCAGCAAGGTGGTTTCATTTTAAGACCTCTTTGCTTTGGCTTGAAGGCAGCCAACATCTCATATCACTTCTTTGTGTGCCCAGAGAGAGTACAAGTGAGCTCTCTAGTATCTCTTGTTTTTTTAGATATAAATCTTTATTGTTGAAAGTATTACATATGTCCATATGTCCTTTTTTTCTCCATTGACCCCTTCTAGCCCCCTCTTATCCCCCCCCAACCCCAGGTCTTCAGCACCCTATTGTCTGGGTCCATGGGTTATGCATACAAGGTCTTTGGTTGATTACCTCCCACCCACCCACCCTCCCCTGCCTTCCCTCTGAGATTCTGCATTCTGAACTCACCAAACTGCATTTAAGAGCCATTCGCTTCACTGTAAATAACACTTCAGCTAGTAACAAGATAAATATATGCATTTACATTAAATTAAAAATAATTGTGAAAAATACTTGTGTCCTCTCCCCCCACTCCGTGCCAAGCCTTTACCACCCACTGCCTGTGTCTATAGGTTATGCATATATGCATATGAGTTCATTTGTTGATCTTCCCCCCACACACTACCTTCCCTTGCCTTCCCTCTGAGGTTTGACAGTCTGTTCGATGTTTCTATGTCTTTGGGTGTAGTTTTGTTCATCAGTTTATGTTGTTCATTAGATTCCACATATGAGTGAGATCATGTGATACTTATCTTTCTCTGACTGGCTTATTTCGCTTAGCATAATGCTCTCTAGGTCCATCCATGCTGTTGCGAACGGTAAGTGTCCTTTCTTTTTTTACAGCTGCATAGTATTCCATTATATAGATGTACTGCTGTTTTTTAATCCATTCATCTGCTGATGGACACTTGGGCTGTTTCCAAATCTTAGCTATTGTAAATTGCACTGCTATGAACATAGGTGTGCATATATTCTTTCTGATGGGTGTTTCTGAGTTCTTGAGATATATTCCTAGAAGTAGGATCACTGGGTCAAATGGCAGTTCCATTTTTAATTTTTTGAGGAAACTCCAAACTGTTTTCCACAGAGGCTGCTCCAGTCTACATTCCCTCTAGTATCTCTTCTTATAAGAGCACTAATCCTATCATGGTATCCCATTCTCATGACATCATGTAACCCTCATTACCTCTCAAAGGCTCCACCTCCAAATATCATCACATTGGGGGGTAGGGCTTCAACATATAAATTTGGAGGGGGACACAAAAATTCAGTCCACGGCACCATCATATGCATAAGCACTTTTAAGGAAGGAAGAAAATATTTGCTCGGACTAGTTTCTATTGAAACAGATGCTAAGAAATCTATTTTAGGATTTCATGTTTAAGCTGGGATTTCATTTTTTTCTAAATTGGAGAATATATTCCATAGTTTTCTTCTTAAGTCCTGAGGCAGGAACAGCATGATGGTTCTCTCCTTCCCCTTGCCCTCTCTAAAAATCAATAAAAAAAAGCATTTAAAAATATTTCATATTACAATCCCTTCCCAGGGTATAGGAAGGAACTATTTCCTCACTGATGCATTTCAAAAGCAAGAAGGGGTTCAGGAAGGTGCAAAGGGGTTGAGGAAGGGGTCCAGGAGGTACAATGACAATTGGACTTTGGCCACGGGATAGTTCTGGTAATGCTTACCTAAAATGCCTCTTCAGCTTTATTGGCCAAATATCCAAGAGGTGGGAACACACCAGGGATCTTTTACACATGGGCCTTCTTTCTGCTCTGCATTCAGTCACCTTAGTGATAATGAGAATTTTCTATTAGGATAACTTCCTTTAATCCCCAAATTTTAATTTTAAACCTTATTAGGCTAAGCCAAAAAAAAAAAAAAAGCCAGACACAAAAGATTACCCACTGTGTTTCCATTAATATAAAGTTCTAAAACCGGCAGAGCTCATCTATGCTGACAGAAGTGAGAAAAGTGGGTGCCTGATGGAGGGCAAGAACTGAGTGGGAAGGGTCACCAGGGAACTTTCTGGAATGATGTAAATATTCTATAGCTTGATGGGGGTGAGTGATTATGCATTTGTCTGAACTCACCAAACTGTGCATTTAAGAGCTATTCGTTTAACTGTAAATAACACTTCAGCTATTAACAAGATAAATATATGCATTTATATTAAATTAAAAATAATTGTGAAAAATACTTGT